GATAGACATGTAAATACTTAGTAGGGTTGTGGAAAGTTGGGAAGGGTAGGGTGGGAGAGTTGGGGAGAGTAGGATGCTTAATGCAAACATTGCTATGCAATAATAGGCAATCCAACACAACGTACTTGTAACAAACAAGTAAATGAATACCAATACAGCGTCTTTAACTATTTTCCAGGAAGAATTGGACGAGGTAGTTTCAGTGTGGAACGCACATAGGACGCGTCCAACACGCAACCAAATTGTTCCGAATGGTCGGCCGAGATTATGCTTTTTAGTTGTCCACAACTTTTGGGAGCTGAAGATTTCTCCTTGCCTGTGTCGGAAACCGAAATCGAGGCATGTAAAGAGAAGTGTACGTTTAAAGGCGCATATCCTTGTGAAGAAAATATTTTTGAATTGTGTTGCATAATTATGATGGAAATCAACAGATGCATATCAAGCTGCCGAACTATACATTGACCTGCGCACTGATATCGTACAGGCCCTGGCTTGACGATACTATAATCATGTTGTGTTTGGAAAAATTGTAGAACCCTTGATATATTAATTTGGTAACATGGCGTTTGTTCAAAAGAGAATGACGGAGTAGATGTTGTGGTCATTCATACACGTTGATATCCGTAGTCTACTTTGATGTAAATGCATATAAAAACTTATGTATTTGAGGTTAGTATTTTTTTTGGTAAATATTCACCTTTGATTTGAATAAATTGTTATATTCATCATGATATACTGTGTGATTTGAACAAATATTCATAAACACCGTGGGTAAAAATTTATAATAATTGCAGACAAATGTCGATTGAGAGTTTAATTAATTTGAAAGTAGCATGGGGTGAATTTTAGCAAATTTAGATATGAGATTGCATCCCTGACTAACGCAATTGGAAACGATGAATTACGAATATTTCATTTGTATTAATAAAGAAAATAACACTTGAATATCAAAACAACAATGTTTGTTAATTCAGTGACTCATTTAGCAGAGTACACAGTAACAAGTACATGTGGTCAACGCAGCTAAAACTGAACGTCTGATCCAAGACATATGTATATATGTAATAGTCACTGAAATTTAATACCATAACAACAGGAGAAACGAACAACATAGTATTAGTAGATAAAACAGGATTTATAATAGAAAAAACGGTAAGACATGCTCCTTTCCTTTAATACTAATGGTCAATGATAGCAAAGTATGTGATTTATAAACGTTTTATGTAACACAACGCAACAGTATTTTGAAATGTAACTGTTATAACTGCTCTAGTGTTGATAGCATTATTCTCATGCCTCCGAGATTACTGATAAATGACATAAATAGGGCATTAATGACTGCCTCTTGAACTGAACAATCGGATATATGTGGGTAAAACAAACAACAGGCAAAGAAATATGCCAAATACAAGCAATTACATCACAAGAATAGCAAGTGAAAATGAACTTTCTGTGCAATGCAACTGAACATTTTCTCTTTCTAAATTATGTCCTTCAGCCAAACACCAGCATTCAAAATGGTGTTGAATTCGGCTCTAAAGTCTGGATAGTTGTCATATGATGAAGGCAGTTCCAGTACATTTGAGCAGGTATGTGCTACTGGACGACGGCTTATACCAGACAGCTTGACAATTGATATCAGATCAGATCCAGTAATGAAACGTAGAAAGCTCTTCAACAATGATCCATCAATTTCACGTATATACCTCTGTAAATGCCCCCTGTCCTTTCTTCTGTATTCATTTGGTATGAAAACTGTAACGGCTTTATAACTTTCTTTGGGGTGGGTTTTTTGTTCTCATATAAATTGTAGATATTGTCGCTACAAATGGTAGAAGTATTTTTCTCCAACAGTCTGCAAAAAACATAGGCTCCTGTATAATCTCTTTGTGAGCAATCTCTAAAATAATTTCACGCATATTATCAGCACTGGGCAACTTTCGGCATTGATGGTTATCTAGAGCATCAGTAAGATCTTCCTCATCTACTGCATCAGTAATTTAAATGATACCATCCTAAATGTAGATAACACTGAAACCATGCCCGAACTGGAAATTCCACATCCTGGGGGAAACGTACAAGTTATTAGTAAATGAATACCAATAAAACGTACTTGTAACGTACGAGTTTTTAGTAAATGAATACAAATACGCCGTACATGTAACGTACAAGTTAGGTAATGGATATCAATATGCTTGTAAATAATGGAGAAGAAGCTCTGAAGTAAATAGATTCAGATTTTGTCTTTTTTATTTGGTTGTTTCTATGGCAACGCGATTCAAATTTCAAGCAACATCTTACCGACTTTATCTTTTGGTTATAAATAATTGTTTCCATGACAACCAGATGTATATCTCTTGCAAAATATAATCGATTGAAACTTGTTTGCAAGGTGAAGTCTCTCCTGAGAATTGAGAATCAATCAATAACTGTTTGAGTTATAAATAGTCAATCATTCCCGAAATTGTTGTTTCCATGACAACCGGGACCACATTTCGCCAATATTGATTGATCTTATAAAAGCAGAACCTATGCTGGGAATTTCATTTAGAATACGACACAGAGAAAAAGGGGGAAATTTTGTACACAATCCAGAAAATATTATAATAATATAATCGAGTCTGCTAGCAGCACATGTGAATATTCTGTGTTCAGCAACTTCGCCCTTCTTGTATATTGTTTTAGACTAATTGTCCACTTGCATAGTGCGTAATTTTTCATTGTTTCTTATAATCTGTTACATCCATATTGAATAATTCATCCAGCTTCATTCATTAAGAGACCACATTTAAAATCAATGTGTATTTAGTTTCGCCCGGTTCAAAGATACCTTAACGACTTTAGAGATATTTGTATTAACATTCAGCTCGCCTTCGAGTGTGGATGGTGTTTTTGTTCAACATTTACTAGAAAAGTATTTTTTTCATATTTCTAAACAGTAACTGTAGTTACATTGTTCTCAACATTGCCCATTTACTGGAACGGTGCCAGTTTACTGATTTTTGTTTTGTTTTTGGACTTAACAATAATCATTTACTGGGTTTCTCAGAACTAAGTTGTTATGAACTAATAAACACAACGTTCCTTCCCTGTTTAAAAATCGGCAATGTACAAAAAATCAGTTGTGATTTATTCATTTTAACTAGGCCTTGTTTGATGGAAAATACAGCGCATCGCCGGCCATCAGCCTTGTCACAAGCAATCAATCATTTTGGCGTATTACAATTGGAATACAGAACACCCATAATTACGTGATAGCATGGCTCGGACAGTATGTTCGCATTAATAATATCGCCCATTGTTGCGCACATCCAGGTAAGCTTTAGTGTGTAGTTAGCGCATCAACCTAATTGTGCAAATGATGTGCGACATTTTGATTTCCCACAATCCAATGTCGAATCATTGTGTGAATGCTTCGACTCAACTTTGTGGTTAATTTACATATCTATCTTTTGTCTGCGTATATTTATCGGTTTTTGTTGGCCTCGCGTATCGCATGTTGAAAAATGTCCAACGCCATAAGTTACAGCGTGCCGTAATTTTGCGGTATTTTACGGGGTATTTTCATTCTATTATATTAGGAAATGCAAATTCCAAATATGGAACAATTACGTCTTCTAATAATAAAAACAAAGATGGCCGCCAACAGGGTTTAACAGTAGACAGTACAGCTGCGCGTCGGTCGATACTCCCGCTGTACTGTCTTCGTGCAAACTTTTCGGTTTTCTCGTAAATACCTCATAATATAATCAATTAAGCAAATGAATGGGGTGCATTTAGCCATAGAATGACGTGAAATATACATGCTTCAATAACAATAAAAATATGCACGATAAAAGCTGTGTATAATTACAATATCACTCGTTTGCTTAGATATTGAAGTCATTCAAGCACCGATTAATAAAATATTCTTTCTAGAAATAACATAAACATCATTTACTTTGTACTTAGTATAATTAATCAGGTTATATTAGCATGTGTAAACAATGTTGTGCAATCAGCCGTAAATTGACGGGAAATATAACTACTACTGGAGATTCGAGTAAGAATATGCATGTGTGAACCAGACCTTTGCTACTGTGACACTCTTTTAGTTTAATTTACATTCTAACACTTTTGGCCCAACATTAGCCATGGTAACTGTCAACTACCAAGGTAACAACTGTGAGTCTGTATCACAAGGTGATGATAAGTTCCCAAGGGCAGTTCCCCCATAAAGTAATTAAAATTGCACATCTTTCGTAAACGGATACACATATGAAACTATGTGTTTATTGTTGCATTACCAATGACGTTGACCAACAGCTGTTAAACTAACATTTAGTCAGTCCTCAGTGACATTTTCAGCAGTCAACAGCTTAAGTATAAGGCTCCTGCAAATGACACTATATGTTGTACCGTTTCATACAGTCGACGATATCTGGAAAGACCACAGACTATATTGAGGTTACAAATGACTCTGCATCCAATGATGGGACGTACTCTATGGAGGCTACCTATTTCTGATCTTAGCCAGTACTTTTCTGCCCCTGCTCGACGACTTGCTCTCTGCTACCGCATTGAGTTCCAGATCTGAACTAGCTACAATAACTTTACTCAATTGTTCACACAGTCCCCGTTAAATTTTTGAAAGTTCTCTTTTTGCTCGTCATATTAAAGCGGAGGGGTTGTCGCGAGCGTGTCCTTGAAACTTGAGTTCCAAGTGGCATATACAACAGATTGTTTTTTACATCAAAACACCTGTCCGTGTAGTAGTAATATGGCGAAAAATATTCGGCCATCTTTGGTCTGATTATGAAACACAGTAATATGTATGATGTATGTGCCAAATACGAATGAAAATGGTACATAAATTGTGGAAATATAGTAGTAAGGCCAAAAAGTCAGATGGCTGTCAATCGGCCATCCTTGACCAGATTTTGAAATAAATTGTCATTTACATGCATCCTAACATGTATAAAGTACATGTATGTGCCAAATTTGAATGAAAACGGACAGAGCAATGCCAAAAAATAAGATGCCTGCCAGTCGACCATCTTTGATCCAATTGCGAAATAAATCGTCATGGACATGTATCCTAACATGTATAATCTATGTACCAAGTTTAATTTAATATTTCCAAAAAGGTAGTATTTATGCTGATTATAGAAAACCATTGGTGCCCGTTCCTACAACTTGAAATGCATGGCCGCCGACGCACTCTCATAATTAGCATAAATTAGCATAACATCTGTTTATCGGCCCGCGGGAGTTTATGGAATTTGTTTATGGCTCACTGATAATCATGTATGACAGAAAAATATATACTGGAAGTCACGTGGCGCGATATGATTCATTTCTCGTCATGTTGCTTGTAAAGTACAGACGGGTTGTACTGCATCTTATCTTAATGAGCAACTTCATCTCTGCGTTCAAAGATGGAAACACACTTACTCAACCATCAAAAGTTGTGTTCGCTCCATCTCTACTTACATGTGCGTCATTTTGTGCTGATTACGGTGACTCGTGTCTATCCATACGATACACGGGAATACATCGCACCTGTGAGCTGTTTCGTATTACTGCTCGTGCTATAAACACAACATCTACCGGCGACTGGCTCATTTTAGACAAATCCCAAATGGATCTGAACGATAAAATAAAGGTAAGTAATTCAGGTAGACTGACTGTTTTCATGTGATTTGGCTAGTCTTATGTCTAAATTGTACCAACTTTGAATTAATTTCACATTAAACAATCGTTCTATTTTACAGATACAAACCAAACCAGACGCATGTACAAGCAATCCGTGTAACAACCATGGATGGTGTGTTGTAATTCCGGAAGACGATTACATGTGTACTTGTAATTATAACAGTGGCTTTACTGGAACCAATTGCAACATTCATGGTATGTGTTATTCGTGTTACTTGTTACTTCGGGTCACGTGCATAACATGAATTTGTGTGTGTGTTTCAAATGTCATATATCGTCATGAATCATTGTGTGTATTTTTATTCAACTTTTCATAGTAACGTACGCGTCATGGAATGAATGGCAGACTTGGTCGGAGTGTAGCGCCAGCCTTGGACTTGGTTATCGTGAGCGACATCGACGATGCAATCGCGAAAATGCAACAAGCACATTTGATGAGAAAAGTTGTCCGGGGCGAAAAGTCGAACTTGACAAGTGTTATATTTCGCACCAAGGTTAGCAAATATTACCCCAAAGCTACAACCTCGTGTATTTTTGTACTGTAATACAACATCATTGGACACACCAAGTTATAATAAATCAAATGCTTAGGGAAATGATTACTAAATATTGACCTATATGTATTTAAATTTATTTACTACTTTTCCTCTATATTATGGATGAAGGGAAAAAACGCTTTTTTTCAATATGTTTAAGCCAGGCGGTAGTTTCGTACTTTGAAAGTCATTGTTATTTCTTGTGAATTGTTTACGTGGGTTGCACATGCAAATGTTGATGGTTTGAAACTACATCATTACGGCATGCATGTGAGTTTAATGCGTTGACTGGGCCGGTAAAACACAAACACACACCGGTACGTACGAACTTACTAAAGAGTCTACTAACGTCGCACCCGTTAGTGACTGTACCACACTCATCTAAAGTCCGCGTGACAATCACTGCAACTTATTTTAGCTATGCTTGTTAACTTCTACTTTCTTTGTTATTCCAGATCCCTGCGAAAAAATTACTTCTCCCAAAACAAGTGAGTTCAGTAATTTCATATGTTGTACACAGGCGTAGACAAAAGACAGAAACATGTTCTTCATACATTGCGGGGTTGTCGGTTTCATTGTACGTGCATATTGTCGAATGTATTACCTACCATTGTATTACCTCAAACATTTTACCCAGAATGCTGTACTACGCACGTGTTCACATTATTTTTTTCGGGGGATACATGTACGGCAAATATGAGACAGGACTAGACTATAATATCACGATATACTACTGATTGATATATAGTTTGGTCTTGGTGCCTCTTCTCTTTTTCCTCTGTATTTTGTGTCTGTTTGTTTGCGCAAAATGCTAAACGAAATATATTTTTCTAACTCGGTGGGATGATGTAAAATTGTGTACCCGACTTTCTAAATTGAGGGAAATCAGCATTGTATTCGTTAACACATTATTTAGCCATATATATTTTTCTGTCATTATGGGAAATACATTGATATAGGGAATGTCCTCTCGAAATGTTTGGTTTAAATATTCAGTCTAGGAATAGGAATAGTCGTCAACAATTAAGTTAATAATGGTTGGGTGGGGTCATCTGGCCTCATTAATATGCATAATTCTAATACCTAGAGAGCTGCACGTGCAATCAATGCTATAATAAAGACATTAAATGAGATATATAATTGATAGATGATCATGGCCATGTATGATTGTGCAGCCTCGTTTATATTCATATCTGTATTATTAGTAAACACTGTGGTTGGTATATATGGTGATAGAACTTCATTAATATGTATATTGGTAATATCTACACCACTGTTGCAGATTGGTATATGCACCCAATGCTACAATAAAGGCATACAACCTTCATTGTCATATGACCTCAATAATATACACAAATATAATATATAAAGCACTGTTTCAAATTGGAACATGAAACTAGTGCTATAGTGAAAGCATTGGACAAAAGATATAACTAACCTGTTGTATAAGAAAAATAAATCTGAATGGCTTATGCATTATGATACATCTCCTTTCTATGTCTATCTTCATCACCTGGCAACGTACTCGTGGCGTTCTCGATTTATTTTATACTATCATAACGAGTAACCAACTGCAGATGCAGTTCCCCGGACTCAAAATAACCATTCAGCTGAATCTAGAAACTCCTTCTCATTGAATACAAATACATTTTGCTCGGTATCGGTGTTTCATTTGGTGTATTTATATTTGTTTTAACTTATACTTACTTTATCAGTCCGAGCTAAAATGGATGCGGCTGGTATTCTGAAAATATTCATAGAGTGGCTTGGAGGGTGGATTGACGTCACGAACACCGAGGTTATATGTGAACGTCTTGGAAATAAAGGTATTGATTCAGGTCAACGACATTATAGTTCGTTTGGGGGACTAAGCTTTTGACATCGTTATATTTACAATATTTGTCGTTAAACTTCAATGTGTGTGTATATACATATGAAACTCAGGTTAATTTCTAAGATAAAGTATATATAAAGACCCACGACTTAATTAGACTTTATTTAAATTCATTTAGTCAAATCAAGTTCTATACAGCAACACGACACATATACAGTTCTTTGCTACGCATAGTTGAATCCCGTTACTAATTCTCCATTTAGATGATTAATCCTTTTTTGTTATGCAACTAGTGTACGCCAGTCATATTCGCTCATAAATAATTCAGAACGAGCGTACGTAAAATACACCATAATCGTACAATATATGTTGGTTTTATCAGACTGGTCAGTGAAAGACCCAACTTATGTAAATACTATCTGCAATGCGATCAAGTGTGAAGGCAAGAAGCCGTCTCTTAATGACTGCAAAATCACATTGACAGATCACGTGATCGACATCCTTTCTGGTATCACTTGTAATATAGGTTAGTATAGTTATTGAAATAATGTGTGTATATGTTAATTATGTGATTAATTTTACAATTAAAATACTGTTACTCTGTCTTTGTTTTTTCATTCATGTAGACAGCTTTTGAACTGAGTTTTTATTCAGCATTGATTTTAAAATTGTGAAATTAGGGTAAAATAATGATCACGTAATTGCAAAATAGTCAAATATTGGTGAAATTCACCTACCAATGGATCGCCTTTGAAAGACATTGTTTCAACTCCGAAACTTTGTCCACGCGTATCTCGCCTTGGAAGCTAAACTAACCTAGCTTCACGTTAGGGTAATCTATTTTTGTATTGTAGATTAAAATTGAATTGGTCGAACCACGCGATTTGCTACACATGTAAACACGACATCATTTTATTTTTAAAGTATGGAATGTGAATTTAATTTTATTTTTTTCTCGATGTAGAAAATGAATGGGGCGCCTGGACCCAGTGGACTCAATGCGCTTGTGGAATACGAACACGCACAAGACAGTGTGATATTGTTAGTAGCAGTATCAGTGCATGTCCGGGA